TTTACATAAGTATTCAGACCGTTTACTCAGTACTTTGTTGAAGCACCTTTGGCAGCGATTACAGCCTCAAGTCTTCTTGGGTATGACGCTACAAGCTTGGCACACCTGTATTTGGGGAGTTTCTCCCATTCTTCTCTGCGCATCCTCCCAAACACTGTCAGGTTGGATGGGGAGCATCGCTGCACAGCTATTTTCATGTCTCTCCAGAGATGTTTGATCGGGTTCAAGTACGGGCTCTGGCTGGGCCACTCAAGGACATTCATAGACTTGTCCCGAAGCCACTCCTGCGTTGTCTTAGCTGTGTGCTTAGGGTCGTTGTCCTGTTGGAAGGTGAACCTTCGCCCCAGTCTGTGGTCCTGAGCACTCTGGAGCAGGTTTTCATCAAGGATCTCTCTGTACTTTGCTCCGTTCATCTTTCCCTCAATCCTGACTAGTCTCCCAGTCCCTGCTGCTGAAAAACATCCCCACAGTATGATGCTGACATCACCATGCTTCACCGTAGGCATGGTGCCAGGTTTCCTCCAGACGTGACACTTGGCATTCAGGCCAAAGAGTTCAATCTGGGTTTCATCAGACCAGATCATCTTGTTTTTCATGATCTGAGGGTCCTTTAGGTGCCTTTTGGCAAACTCCAAGCGGGCTGTCATGTGCCTTTTACTGAGGAGTGGCTTCCTTCTGGCCACTCTACCATAAAGGCCTGATTGGTGGAGTGCTGCAGAGATGATTGTCCTTCTGGAAGGTTCTCCCATCTCCACAGAGGAACTCTGGAGCTCTATCAGAGTGACCACCGGGTACTTGGTCACCTCCCTGACCAAGGCCCTTTTCCCTAAATTGTACAGTTTGGCCGGGCGGCCAGCTCTAGGAAGAGTCTTGGTGGTTCCAAACTTCTTCAATTTAAGAATGATGGAGGCCACTGTGTTCTTGGGGACCTTCAATGCTGCAGACATTTTTTGGTACCCTTCCCCAGATCTGTGCCTCGACACAATCCTGTCTCGGAGCTCTACGGACAATTCCTTCAACCTCATGGCTTGGTTTTTGCTCTGACATGCACTGTCAACTGTGGGACCATATATAGGCAGTTGTATGTCTTTCCAAATAATGTCCAATCAATTGAATTTACCACAGGTGGACTCCACTCAAGTTGTAGAAACATCTCAAGGATGATCAATCGAAACAGGATGCGCTTGAGCTCAATTTCGAGTCTCATAGCAAAGGGTCTGAATACTTATGTAAATAAGGTATTTCTGTTTTTTATTTTTTGTCTTAAAACCTGTTTTCGCTTTGTCATTATGGGTTATTGTGTGTAGATTGATGAGGGGAAAAAAATAATTTAATCAATTTTAGAATAAGCCTGTAAGGGAACAAAATGTGGAAAAAGGGAAGAGGTCTGAATACTTTCCGAATGCACTGTATGGTTAAAGTACTTAGCCTTTTCTTTGAAAATATCGTTTGGTGAATCATGGATGACTCCTAGTTAATAAACGATGAATCCCCAGGGGGTAAGAGTGAACTCTAGTAACCTCTTGAAGGTGACTAACATGAATTTGTTCCTCCTTTTAGGGACAAAAGGTTGACCATCATGGACTTCAACCCATGTGATTACTGGGAGAATAGTATAGTCAATTCTTATATGGAGCACTTTTGGATTATACCAGAGCCATATATTTATTTCTAAATAGATGATACCAACTACTATAATGTTGCCACGTTTATCCCTCTCTGCTGGGACTACCTACAATTTCACCACTGACTGCAGTGTAGCTAGAGGAACAACTGAGAGCAGAGCCTTTAGTTGTAAAGTCTTGGTTGGGCCCAAGCCCCAGTCACAGCTCCTGTGTGGCATCTTAATCCTGTCCGGTGCTATGAGCTTCAGAGTGAGGGAGGAGGTGCTGATGGATTTGTGCTACTGAGGAGACCATGGGACTCTGAGGCACACACCCAAACCCTTCTACGTGCCCTATGCTAATGGAGAGAGGCAGAGCTGCTGTTATTTTAGTATCACTTGGATATTTAGGATATTAATAGGATGGATTCATGGGACGGAATAATGCTCGAGTTACTTGTTTACGGTAAAAAACGACTAAAATCACCAGGAATTCAGCAAGAAATGTTTAATTTAGGAAATCTTATCCCAAGTATTGCCATGAATAAAAAACGAGACGTGATCGTGTCTCAATCTAATCAAGGTATGAAATTATTATTATTATCAAATACAATCCATTTTTGAGCTTAGTTGTGGTCAATTTGCAGTGTACAAATTATTAAAATTATGTTCCAGCCCTGGCGCGTTACGTCTGGGGAACTTCCATTTTCCTGTACTGCTGCTGGAGAAATTATATTCCTTTCCTTTGTGGTGAAGATGGAATGAAAATAATGGCCAATCTTTAATAATAGAGCTGTATGCATTGTTTGTTCCTGGCCCTCTCTTTAACTTCGGACGTGCCGTGGGAATTCTGTTGTGAATTAAAGTTAGTTTGTCAATACTGCAGCTTTGTGTTCCAGGCTTTTAGGATCTTTTAATATACTGAAAGTAAAATACAAGTGACCATAGTGCAGTTTGGGTTTTGGTATTTTGTCTTTTATTCAATTAAAGATTCTTATTCAATTAAAGATTTTTATTTAATACAATTATTTTCTCTTGTCCAAAACAAAAAAGATGATTGACACGAGAAATATACAAAAATATAAAGAGAATTATGAAGTGCCTCGATGCCACATATACAACAGGAAAGTATTTTACAAGAACAAAATCAACCGTTAGGAAACACTAACATCAATAATTAGAAAGTATCTTAGACAAAACAACCAAATGCTTTGAAAGCCTTAGACTTTCATCACCTCAAACTTATAATTCATGACTTCTCACATACCTCCTGCACATCACAGAAATCCACAGCAATCTTTCCATTGAACAGTCTCTTTCTGTACCAGCCACTGTAATACCTATGGTTCAAACCATCAGTATTATAAGTTGCTGTTGCACTTGTAACTGTTACAGTATCCTCAATATTCAGAACATCTTGATCCTCAAGAAAGTCTCCCAAAACAACAGAGCCTCTTCACTTTCTCTCACTTTCTTCTGTCCATATTCTTTAGTGTATAAAACACACATTTCTTTGTCCATTTTCAAACACCTACATTAACTAAATTTTTTCATTACAAAAGTAGCTCTAGATGTAAATTAAAATAGAAAATACACATTTTCAAAAAAGTAGAGATCTAAAAAACAATGGAGGTAAGAGATCTGAATTCATAATACACGGTTCAATATTTACCAGGATCCATAATCCATATATATAAGACAAATAAAAAAGGTTGTGAGCGAGATCACACAATTCTTAATACAAATAAGAATCTATATTATTTTCCTACAACAACACCCGACAGCTGTGAATAAATCTAAGCCACCCATTTCACTATCCTGTATATAACAACAGTGTGCTGGAGAGAGTAACGTGTTGGGACTTTTATGGTCGTGTTTACTAGTCTGCCAAACAACCTGGACATCAGAGGCTAGAGCTGGCAATGTCTAAAAATAGCAATGTTCCTCAGGTTTGCCCAGCCAGTCACAATATTAACTGGTTAGCTCTGCTCCCTCCTCCTCTCTGGATCCAACGTTGGCATTTCCAACTGGCAGGTTGACTTGTAGTTATGGCAGCGACAACAAGCATCTCCTTCACAAGAGGCATTCTATAACAGAAACCTTGACTCTCTGCCTGCTGTTGAAGGTGCCTCCTTAGACTCCATTTCTGATTTGTTGTAGAAAACAGCGTGGATAATGTGATATTTTCCTTTAAAGCTAGAATCATTAGTTGCTACATCAATTTTTGGACTTTTAAATTAATTATATATACACCCATTGATTCTTGAAGAATATAACTTAGAAATGCCTCATGAGCTTGGTTCAACTGTCATACCCCATCAGAACCCTAAATACAAGCTTGTTTTACTCCAATGTTTGTAAACAATGTAAATGTAAACACTGTATAGCCTCAAAACATGGTTACAACTATAGTCAGTCCTTGCATCCATAGCTCTATCTAGGAATTTGACAGTGGTTACATTTCTCCACGCCCACTCTCAGCTTTTTACCAAAACAAAGTGACCACTTTATTGTTTCAATTAAGGATTCTAGCTTTAAAATACCTCAGTGTCTATCAGACTAAAAAGGCAAGTTCTAGAGTTTGAGGTCACTAATGTCTTATGTCATGTAGATGTGGTTTGGTGTCTGTCAAAGCAAGACAGCAAACCTGCAGAGAGGAGTTTGATGTCACTGGACATCTTTTTAGAGACGAAAATGATGTGCTCATGACACCCTCAAGACACTTGTTGGGATGAGAAAGATGCAGTGTTGTGATGTAGATCTAATGCAGGAGTCGTGTTTGAGAGTCTGATGAGGATGTGACAAAGAAATTACTTACTACTAGGGTGAAATCTTCTTTGTAACAAAATCTTTGGTCCAATCTTTCAATTGCTAAGTATTGCATTTCGGTTTCCACCTCTTTTCAGAATACCCACATAATTTACACCATTTTAAAAGAAGTGCAACCAAGCTATTAGACTGCTTTGCATGTGTCTGTGTGGATTCACGTTTCCTTTAGAGCATGAATATGTACATTTCTATAATGAATCTTTACAGTCAAACAAGATGTATAACATGGTACCATCAATCTCTCAAAGAGTCATGCTCAACTATCAGAGGTGTTCCTGGAGAGGAGGAGGCTACAGACTGGCAGCGCTCTGCTCCATAAGACAAGTGAACATGAAGGACAACTCTTTAAAGGGCTTTGTGATTTGATGTACTCCCCCTACAATATGCACCAATTTGTAAGTCGCTCTGGATAAGAGCATCTGCTAAATGACTTAAATGTACATATCCCTTATGCAATATTACCACCCTCTGTGTGTCAGTCTTTCAGTCTTCCTGTGTGTCCAACTGCCTCTGTGTGTCCAGTCCACAACAGTAGGAGGAGCCAGGCAGGTCAGGTCTGAAATCGGGTTTAGAGGTCCTCAGCGTAGAGAATGCAGGGGCTGCTGTCCTCACTGGACTTCAGCTGGACGGTGGAGACAAACCAGCGTTGGGAGCCCGTAGCGTTGTAGTTGAGCGTGGTACGGTAAGTGTTCTTGGCGTGTTTGGGGTACACGATGGTGGTGCTTTGGTAGTGCAGGGGCCTCTGACGTGGCTCTAGGTACACCTGGGACTTGTAGCGCCGCCAGGTGCAGTTCTGCACGGCAACCACCATCTCGCTGTAGGAAGTCACCGTGGGAACAGGAGCACAGTACACCTGGTCCCGGTAGTGCCTGTCTGAGTCGTACTTTACTTCAGAGTTACACCTGGAGAGTAGAACCAAAAACATGGGATTAAGTGTTGAAGCACCAAAGTACTTTGAAGAGCAATACATTAAGTAATAGATTAGGCAGGAAATAGTATAGAAGCTGATCACTATATGGCACTGTTAAGAGGTGAATACTGAGTAGGGTAGAGAAAAGCTGCCTTCAAAAAGCCTACTGCATCAACCTGTACATTAAAAAGCCAAATTACATAAATCCATAAAAATTACAGTAAATGCTTGTTTAATAGCAAGTAATTATTTGAGTGGTTTGGTGAAGGGTCACTTACTTGATCTCCGTTTCAGGTTTGGGGTTGACCTCGATGCTCTCACCAAAGAAGACAGGGTACATGCGTGCCCTCGGGTCCGTCCCCGTTGAGTTCAGGAGAAGGTACGGCAGCTAGGGGAGGATATAGGTATGAGGTTAGGGAGGCCATTCTTATAAATCCATCACATTACCCCTTAATGTGTAAACATGAACCTACTGGCGGTGAGGGGAAATGTCCTTGACATGTTGAAGAGGGAAGTGAGCTGGCAGAATCCATTCTACAGGCAAGAGTAGGTGTCATCACAGACTGTCCTGTGAGATCCCACTACTGATACACTATTAGTGCTCTCTACCTAATATAGAGAACAGTTTATTTAGCTGGCAAAGATGCAGGCTCTCAATACACCTATAACAGGACAGGAACTCCCACATGAGGAGTTCTGTGCTATCTCCCCTAGCATTCACCCAACACAGCTACAATAGATGAGCAAAGCCTGGCTAGAAAGAGTAGTTGGTGTCTACACAACAAGTAGCAAAAATAATAGTACACCACTTCCTTTTTTCATTCAGATAATTACATAGTGGAACAAGGCAATATGACTTGTTACAGTCACTGTAAATCTCTTTTCACTGAGCCCCCACAGCAGCCTAGTGGTATGCTTCAGAAAGAACTTACAAAGCCAGTCAGCCAGCCGGCATGTCTGCCTGCATGTTGTGTAACTGAGGGGGCTAGCTGAGAGCGTCCCTGCCGCCTCTGTGTCTCCTGGACCTGGGTACTGTCACTGCTCCACCTGCTCAAACCATCAGAACCGCTCTGCTCTGCTCCCCTCCACTAAATCACCCCACAGAGAGCCTCCAGTCCAGCCAACAGCAGACATGGTGGTCCAAGACAGGAGAGGCTACTGTCTGTCTGCACTATAGAACAACCCCTGTCACAGAGAGGTCACATACATGTTTAAGTTAATTTGATTTCAATTGACTGTAAATGGATGGAGCCTTGTAGTCAGTGTTGTCAACCTTAGGGTACTGTATGCATCTCAGAGTTTGTCTCACATACATTACAGTAGAACACAGCATAGGATATGACAACCTGGTTAGACCATGAAATCAGAGGGTCAAATACAATCTAGTAGATTATTTGTAAGTGTTAGATCTCTTCTCTGCTCCAGGCTTGGTTAACTTGTTACACCCATCATTCTGACAGAGAGACGCTATGAGAAGGCCTCTGCATAGGGACTCCACTGTCCTGTCCCACCATCTGCCTAGAGACCAATAAAGTCAGAGCCACCAAGCCATACACTGTAGCTACCGCTTCTGGAATCAGTTAGCAAATTCTAAATCCTTTGCCAACTCTATACAGTGCTGCTGTCTAAGCCCAGAGGCACGCATGACATCCAGTCAACATGCCATCTAGTCATAATGCCATCCAGACAATACACGTTTTGTTGAGAGTTTAAGATGTAAAACTGATGCTTTTATGTGTAATTATGGTACCTCTCCAAACATAAACGTCCTGATTAAACTATATCATTCTGTTCCCGCCATCTCTCGCGTTCTCCTCCTCTTTCTCTCTCTCATTACAAAAGGGTAGATAGAGCAAAGTTGTCACATGTTAAGGTTTGGATGCAAGTCTCTCCAACCTCACCTCTCCCTAACAGCTCGGAACAGGCCGAAGGCACAGCAGAGGTGCCGCCCAAATCACTGTGCCGCACACAGCTCTCGTCTTACCCAAAGCCCCAAATCAGCACCAGACAAAACCTCACTCAGGGCTGTACTGTACCCCCACTGTACTGTACCCCCACTGTACTGTACCCCCACTTCATCTCTGCTGGCTATATAACTCTCACTCAGATGAGAGCTAGTGTAACCAATAACCATGCTACCCTCACTGCTGTTAATCCCTGTAAATTGATTAATTTACACTGTGTGCTGCTGGCACAGTGTGGCATCATCAAATTAAAAGAGTGTGATTGACTTGTCTTCTGTGCTCTGGCAGGAGCAGCATCCTGGCTGTTTATCCAGGGGAATGAATGTGTTGGCAGCCTTTGAAAGTGTCCAGGCTAGGGGCCCCTCCATCTACTGCACCCAGGCAGCACCAGCACACATACGGAACTCATTCCCCGGAAGCACAACTCTACCCACCCAGTCAATGTGGTGTGCAGCCAAGTACAGGCTACATACATTTTTTAAAAACATTTTAGTCATTTAGCAGACCCTCTTATCCAGAGCGACTTACAGTTAGTGAGTGCATACATTTTCATACTGTACAATAGACAATCAAAGTGCAACTCTCACACAATTGAGGTAGATCACGAGGACCTGGAGTCAGGAAAAACTCTGCCCATCATCATCACACAGTAAACTGCTGACTGAGTAGAGAGAGTAGACGTTGTCAAGCTCCAGCATCACTATCAATATCAACTCTAAATCTGGAATAAGAACCTAATGACACGGGTCTCCTTTCGGTCCTACACTCTAATCCATTGATAGTTATAGCCCTGACTTAGCTCCTTGACTGGGCTGGAACACTGACCCATGAGAGGGACTCATCTACAGCCTCCCCAAAAACCATGTTAGCTCAGGTACCAAAGTGGTTATGAAGAGACAGGGAGATGGAAAGTAATCATATTGATCTATAACAGTCTAATAACCAGAATATAATGTAGGAGTTTTACTGTGAAATAAGGTAATGTCTACTCAAGGGGATACAGTTGTCAGCACAAGAGCTAGTCATTCCCTCTGTTGAAAACGTGCTACTTGTCAAGTTCAGTGTCTTCAGTGTCTAGTAGTAACCACAAAATAACTACATTTCAACACAGTGTGTGTGTGTGTGTGTGTGTGTGTGTGTGTGTGTGGGTGTTGTCACGATACAAGTATCGTGATACTCAGAGGTATCGTGGCAAGGAAACAAAACATGAAGCAGACTAAATGTATTGATTAAAACAGTCCTGTTGGAAACAAGCAGCCTTACATTGTCACCCAGAATCACATGTTTATTTTCCAAGCTATAGCACACAATATTTTAGATACAGCAGATACAAAGAGTTTAGTCTGCCTTGTGTTTTCCTTTTTGCCATGGAAAATCAGGTATTGTAGTATCGCGATACTGGTATCGTGACAACCCTAGTGTGTGTGTGTGTGTGTATTCATGTGTTTAAATTCAAATACAGAGGTCATGAAACTCTTATGCAACAGCCTGCAACTGCTCTTGCAAGCCTGTTTGCCTCAAAATATAACTTTGGGATTGTTCTTAGGTAGCATACAAAAACACCACAAGATTAGAACTGCGAAAAAACTGTTTATGCAAGTGCATGAATGTCTGCCACTGCCAAGCATGCACATACTGTATATAAACGCAAACAGCCCAAACTCACATAAAAATGCTTTGAAAGCCTTTTCTAATGGAATGGGTTGATTTTTTCCATACATACACACAATCCCATGAAAGGTATTGGAACCAAAAGCAGAATCAGCCCCTATCAAAGCTGCTTTTATGAGGAGAAACCACAAAGCAGGGGAGCTCCACCAGTCCCCACATCCAGGGGATTAGAACCATATCTCCTTTCAGGCCTCAACAAACCAGTGTCACGCAACTCCCATATACTGTATGTGGAGTTGGCTGCTGGCTAAAAGCACATAAAAATGCCATCTAGACCTGTATGAACATGTTCCTTTGACAGTGAAATTAAGAGTGCCTTGGTAATTATTATTAATAGAATCAACCTTTGTTCCTCAATGGGATTACTACACTTCACTCACATAATTGCAAAAGATTGATAAAACGAAAGTTATTCTTCTTAACCAACATTACACAAATTGCATTTCTTGATCAAATACACAGACAAAAATATAAACGCAACATGTAAAGTGTTGGTCCCATGTATCATGAGCTGAAATAAAAGATCCCAGAAATGTTCCATACGCACAAAAAGCTTCTCTAAAATGTTGTGTACAAATTTGTTTACATCCCTGTTAGTGGGCATTTCTCCTTTGCCAAGATAATCCATCCACCTGACAGGTGTGGCATATTAAGAAGCTGATTAAACAGCATGATCATTACACAGGTGCACCTTGTGCTGGGAACAGTAAAAGGCCACTATGCGAAGGAGATGTGTTGGGCTGCATGAGAAAAATGGTGGTCACACCAGATACTAACTGGTTTTCTGATCTACGCCCTTACTTTTATTTTTTTAAGGTATCTGTGACCAACAGATGCATATCTGTATTCCCAGTCATGTGAGATCCATAGATTAGGGCCTAATTTATTTATTTCAATTGACTGATTTCCTTATATTAACTGTAACTCAGTAAATCTTTGAAATTGTTGCATGTTGCGTTCATATTTTGGTTCAGTATAATAACATAATGTGCCCTTTCCCAAGTGTGAGGCACTAGACACACCAGATCTATTTGTTGGGGATTTCAAGCCAAAGCATGTGCCTATACGGGCTGTCTGGTTTCCAATCTGGCATTGGCTGCCGTGAGAAGGTACAGCCAGGTTATAATGTATTTATACTGTATGAGTAGAAGCAGTGTGGTCGACTAGAGTGGATTGACCTGAGAGTAATGAGACCACAACAGACACAAGGAGCTAATCACAATCACACTGTTTTGTCCCCTCTCCCATTTCCATTGCTAAGCAAGCATTTCATTGGACGGTGTATCCCATACATACGACTAATAAAACATGAAACTTATGTTTGTTTCTATGGGTTACTTCAACCCTGGGCTGCCATTGACTTACAAAGTATTCCATCATGAATGGGATAGACAGAGAGAGAGATGTTTGACATCCTCTGTGACTTTTGTAACGTTCCTCCTTGACTCTATATTGTTAAATATTCACTCAAGAGACAAGAAAATATCAATATAATTGATATTTCTGAGATATTTCTATTTTTCTTGGAAAGGACACAGGTTGATGCTTATCCCTTTTATGAAACATTAACAGGGTGTTTTGAACACTGCTTCGCTTTTCTGCAGTGGAAAGTTAATTATTACAGATGACAATTTTTACAGACAAACACATTACTGCAGAGAAACCTAGTTCATTTCTGGTTCTCTTTCACCCAGTCCTTTAAAAATGGTTAAAACCCATTTGTTTCCTAGATATGTGATCTGAGGGAAGGCCTATCAATAATTGATCCATTAACTTTAACAACTTGTTTATAATTGTTTGAGATTCAGGAATCCAAGCAATATTCCTGTGAAGACATGTCATAATCCATTTAAGCTATTTGATTTCTAAAGATAATGCTGCATCAGAAAATGTCTAGGCCTATGCGTTGCACCAGTGGAATTCCTCCAGTAAAAGGACTACCAGATGTTTAGGAGTAGGTAGGCAATATGGTAGTGCATGTTTCTGTCCAAAACAAAACAGTAATAGACATACGTCCATGACCGTTAAAGCAACTGACACATGGTTTAACAGTAGTCATCAGAGTAGATAGCTGCATTTATCTCTGGTCTTGAACATACAAATTCAGGGGTTGTGTCTACTTTTTATGCAGAATTGTGCACAATGCGCAGAGCCAGCGGCACTTGTAAACTCATTTTTGTTTTGTTTTCAACTGTTGCTTACCAGTTTGCCTTTGCTCTCCTTTTTATAGTATCCATGGTTCTCGACTAGCGTCGTACAACTCCCGGAGCGCGACTCGAGCAGACCTGGAGACAGCGAATAGAAGGGCGGACTTGGACTCGGAGGGAGTCCCGAATCCGGACTGTCAAGCAGTCCCTCCCGATTCTTTCCTTTCAGACTATCATCCATAGCTTGTAAATGTAGGTGTCCCACCATTTCCGGGAGAGCTCAAAACATAAACCAGGCGAAGGCACTCAAGACGATGATGAGTCAACCAATTTTCTAGAAAGACTGCAACCCAAAATGCGTACAAATCCCTTCATTCGGAGACGGGGAATCCCTGGTAAAATTCTTCGTTTAAAGCGGATTTCTGAAAAAGAACAAATTGCAAAATAATATTTGAATATTGCCATTCCATTATAAAACCATAACTTTAATTTGCCACGTACTTATCTTGTCTTTTTGTGCCAGTATTAGGCCTATAATTCACAAACCTTTGATTTGTTATTCTCAGGTAACGGATTTCTCCACCAGTATTTTCGCCAAAACAAATACTCTCAAATAATTCTGACAAACGAGAAACTAAAGGTAAACTCCAGAAACTCCGTGACAACTAACCAGCAATTCTATAGTGTCGCTCTATAGTCAGTAATCGAGCCAAAGATAAATGGAAGTCATAACACAAAATGATTTTTCGCTCACTGTAACGCAGCAGTCTATCTGGTAGTAATCTGTCCGTTTTGAGCTCTACTCTGAGCTGAACTGAACAGCCGGATCTCGGAGAGGTCCCTCTTAATGAGCCTGACAGCATTTTTGCACCTGGAGCCAATCCAGCCCTGATGATCTGGATCAGTTCCAGACACAGCCGACAGGGCGAGCACGTACGTCCTCACTGCTCCTCCTAGGCTGGTTGGGGCTGTCTGAATGATACTAACTACACAATTATAGCATACTGTGTTATAATACTGTCATAACTCAGTAACTCAGGGAAAGCGGGAATATTGTGAGGGTAGCTATACAATAGAGAGATAATGTCGTGAATAGCATATGGGCTACAATAAGCAGTGGAATTTACTACAAAAATAATTGATCAATTGTGTTAAGGTAATTTCATGCCTTTAAAATGTATAATGCACTATCACTCAAAACTCTTGTGACCATATCATGTATGGGTACATTGAGTTGTTTGTTTGGCTGTTGTTGTTATATTATATCATAGTGGCCACGTGTAGCTCAGTTGGTAGAGCATGGCGATTGCAACGCCAGGGTTGTGGGTTCGATTCCCACGGGGACCAGTATGAAAAATAAAAAATAAATGTATGCACTCACTAACTGTAAGTCGCTCTGGATAAGAGTCGCGCTGTATGTCTCCCAGTAACTATATGAGTATGGAGCTGAGAGCTCTAACTGTCAGGATAGTCTTCACAGTCCAGCAGGATAAAGAATGGAACCCTTGTTGAAGGTTCCCCCAGCATAGGCATACAGTTACTCTTACCAACATCAACCCTGCCAAAAGGGAAATCAGACCATAAATACACAATGCAGAGCATCAGAGGAGTGAGTGTGTGTGTAGGGAAGTTGATTGTGTCTTTGATGGTTCAGCAGCTCTCCATGGTGATTACAGCAGATTGCCAGGAAATCATGCATGATGTTTTTGGGGTCCTTATAAAACTATGATGTCTGTGTTTTGCTTTGTTGTCTAAGATCTTTAATGTACAATTAATTGGATGAATGTTAAGCTTGCACACATCAACTTGTTTGCTTATTGGTGTTTTCATTCTAGTGTGACTGTGAAGGAGTAGAGCTGTGGCAGGAAGTGTAGCCTTTGCTGTGGGAGTAGTCAGGTGTGTCTTTGTGGCATCGTCATTTCATCATACAGGTATTCCATGTTTCGAAGAGCGCATCCCAGTGATCCCCATGCTTTTCAAAGTTTACAGAAGAGATTTGACACAGATTAGCCATAATGCACCAAGACACAGCAGCCTGATCACTAGAAATAGATGGCAATTTCAGGCATTTGAAAAGACCCCCTAATATTATTTATTTTTTACACGTTGCACAGAACTGGGCACAAACTCGTGATGCTCGGAGCCGGAGAACGCTGCTTTGACTACTGCGCCAACACAGTTCACAATGCTCTAGCAAGCCGTGAGAAAACTTGATGATAGTTGAAGGAAACAGCGTGTTGTTTTTAAGCCTTTCCCAAACCATAGCCCTAACCTTAACCACTCAGAATTATTACCTAAACTTAACCATTTGAGCTGTTTCTGTTTTAACCCTGTAATCACGCGGAGTTAACCCTGTAACCATGCAGAATTAATGAGTAAAAAAAAAATCGTTCATCCATAATACGTCAATTTATGAAGGGAAGCTATGAGATCTTGTTGCACACAGTATGAGCATGTTTTGTGGGCATCATACTTAGGTATGTATGGGGGTGGTTTTGGTCTAGAATCAGGAGTGGAGTTTTTGATACAGGATAGGACCTTTGCTCTTGGGTTCAAACCGGGGAACCGGGGGGTGGGATGGGGGTAACCCTGGGGGGGCTTGACATTTGTCTCTGACAGAAGGAGGGAGGGAGGGGGGCAATTGAAACCATGAAACCAGGCAGCCTGCTAGTGATTCATCCCTGTGTGCTCCATCATCCCTCCTCCTGCGCTCTCAGGGCAATCACTCACAACCTGCTCCCCACCTCACAGCCGCTGGCACACACACACACACACACACACACACACACACACACACACACACACACACACACACACACACACACACACACACACACACACATACACACACCTGTACTGTGTTCCAGTTCCACCTCCACACACCTGGCTTGGCTGGGCACCTGGCTTGTACAACTATCCTTGTGGGGACAACAATTCAGTCCCATTCAAAATCCTATTTTCCCAAACCCGTACCCTAACCTGTACCCTTACCCTAACCCTAACCTTAACCTTAACCTTAACCTTAACCTTAACCTTAACCTTAACCTTAGCCCTAACCCTAACCTTAACCCTAACCCTAGCTCCTAACCCTAACCTTAAAACTAACCCTAGTTCCTAACCCTAACCCTTAAGCTAATTCTAACTCTAACACTAATTCTAACCTTAACCCTAAACCCACTAGAAATAGCATTTGACCTTGTGGGGACTAACAAGTATAGTTAAACACACACACACACACACACACACACACACACACACACACACACACACACACACACACACACACACACACACACACACACACACACACTCTGCAGCACTCTCACTGAGCTGGTCTGTGCTCACAGCCCAGTGCCAAGCCAGGTGTGTGGAGGTGGAAATGGAACACAGTACAGGTGTGTGTGTGTGTGTGTGTGCATCTACAGTGCCTTCAGAAAGTATTCATACTCATTGACGTATTCCACATTTTGTTGTGTTACAGCCTGAATTCTAATGATAGAGTGAAAACATGTTTTTAGAAATGTGTGTGTGTGAGTGTGTGTGCGTTTGTGAGAGAGACAGAATACCAGAGAAATCAAAAATAATAATTGTAAGAAGAGCAAGTGAAGGCTTGAATTTGAGTGTGTATTTGATTTTGTGTGTATGTGTGTGTGCACACACGTTTGTGTGCCTGTGTGTGTGTGAGTGTGCGTGCACATGCATGTACTGTCTGGAATAGCTCTCAATGTAAACAAATCACTGCGAGGCCATCCTGGCTCAGTCTGCTAACAGGGAGGTTGTTTTCAACCAGTGGAGATGTCACTGTGGTTTCTACACACACAGCGTGTCTCTCTCTTCAGACTACCCAGCCGTGTATCCTGGACATACAGGTGTTCATTTTAGACTTTGCTTTTTGCACAAGGTACACATAACACTAGTCGATTGTTCAAACAGTGTGAACCTCTGTTCTGTGGAGCCTGTGTGGTGTGGCTGCACACTATCCACTCAGTTTGACCCACTTGTTGAAGTCTGAAACGGAGAGCTTGTTGTGAACACAGTAGATTGATGTATGAGGAGCAGTAGTCAGAGTGTAATCTAAAACTGACTCCATGAGGGATGACACTGGCACTTTCTAAATATACCATCCGATTCACAATGCACCTCCCTGCTCTGGATAGTGCATCAGGTTTTAATGTTTGGAGACCCCTGGGCAGAGCTGGAAGTTTCGGGCTTGGGATACTCTGTCCTCTGCAGGTTGACATTTATTGGGATGAGTCTTATCCTTGTGGCAGAACTGCGCGATTTCCGCTAGATGGGCCACCTGCAAAGTCAAAATTGGCTATATTGTAAAAATAAACAAAACACCCCCCACCCCTTCTCTCTGTAGAGAAGATCCAGCCCTGACCATACACCTACCCCACAGAGCTGGCTTGTTGTTTGCAAGTGTGCACTATCCTGTATCTGACTGTGTGGGAGTGTTTAAATGAGTATTTGACCTGTGTATGAACAGTAGAGTATCTGATAGTTATATTCACAACCATGTGTTTTAACTGACTTGTAAACATATTTATTCTAAATGATGTCTGCGGAACAAAGCAAATTGATGGTAGCATATTTTTGTGCGTGCTGTGTCCAATGGCGTGTTGCTTTCCCCCTTTATAGCATCAGGGCTGAGCTGAGCACTGCCCTCAGGCCTCACAGCTGTTAGCGTTGCATGCAACAAGCTCATCCACACTTATCTGTAATCAGTGATTCACCAGTTGACCGACTGCTTCCTGTGACATTATCACTTCCTGCCCATTCTGTTTGAACAGAGAATAGGTCAATAAAGGAATGGCCTTTGTTTACTGTGTTACAGTTGGGTTTGTCTGTTTTACACAGCTAGCTTTCACAGTGTGATTTAGTATAAGAATGTACGTTCTGAATATGCAAGTTGGTTCTTGGACTTTTTAGGTACCAAATGTCAACAACTAATCACCATTTATGTGCAATTAGTTACCAATGGTGTACTTAGTTAGGTCCTCACAGTCAGTCCACAAGGCTGTGGTGAACAAACAAAGCCCTCAATGATGTGTCAACTCAATAGACTTCTAGATCTAAAAAATGAAAATAGAATGAAGATACAAAACATGCTTTTGTCAGTGTGTCAATGGCCTTTGTGGTTGGTTGACAAAGCGAGGTGTGTGGATTAGCAGGAGAGTAAGTACAACTGTACCATGAGACTGAGATGAGTGTAGTGGAGGTGACGTGGGCCATGTTGGGGCCGAAAGGACAGAAAGATAATAGGTG